GAAGTGTCTGTACGCAGCTCTTTTATGACGTTTGGTATCAAGGTTTAAATATCTTTTGCTTGTTTACAGCGTTTTCCTATATATATAACCTGTCAACGCGGACTCAAAGCGCTCTCTGCTCCTCCTCACTGAAACCACATCTCTTCCTGTGCCGCACGAAGACGCTACCGAAGATTCAAGATAGTGAGTGTTCGTCGACTGGATACGGACTCCTGTGTTTTATCAAGATGACTGTTCTCATGATCGAGAGTAACTTTCACAAGAAAACAGACTCAGATTGAACAGCTTCCTGTAGTATAGCAGAGATCTTAAGATACAGTCACCATCTGGGGGGCGTACAGCTGAACGTGCTGCTATACTTTATTAACCTCTCACTGAGTTATGGCTGCCCTTTATAAGGCACTGTCAACTTGATAAGCTATAAAAAGAAACTTTATTATCATTATTAACTTTATTATCCTCTCCGGGGAAAGGACTTCCTGATGAAACAGACTTAGATAACCCTACTTTGGTTTTCTCTTCTGCTGCTCCAACATAATGAGACGCTGATAAGTGAAATGAATTCAAAGAACCCAGAATGGTTCTGAAGCTTTAAGGTTTGGGTGCCTCTTCAGACTGACCTCTGGTATGCAAGAAGAGTGAAAACAGTTTTGTGAGCTCATCACAACCGCCTCCAATCACATAAACACTGGCAGGGGGAAAGAAAATCAAAGGCTAAAATAGATTAAAAAGCACAGTGATCTGCGGCCAGGGTTTTTAATCAGAGTAATAACAGAGCAAACCTCCTGATAAACGACAGTTCAGCTACACCGAGACATCCATTTCTGCCAAGCAGTCCATGCTCTCTCTCTTATTCTGAAATGTCAGGCTGTTAAAGGTAATAATGACTACCTACGTTTTCATTACCTTAATAGTCCCACTAAGACTACAATGTGTCTTCCAAAGGAAAACTGCTCAAAAGAAACGGTCCAATACTAATATTATACAAGAAGTACAAATGAATCTGCGACTAAGAGCCAAAAGTCAGCAATTATATGACCTCATGAAGCTTTTAAGTCTTCAATTTTATCTCCTAGAAGCTGAGAAAAGAGCAAATGACCAAAACAGTCATTTCCAGAAGTTGCTCCTTCCTGACCTCAGCTGATGGGCACCATGATTAAACGCCTCCCCAGCCGAAACTCTTTCCCTTTTAAGGTCCCTCGCTGACGTCAGCAGGAATGTGACTTCCAGCAGGGACGAGAAACTTTCAGAGTAAAAGTGAACTTTGAAAACGTAGAACTCTAAACATCGGGTTTTAACAAAGAGACTACAGTATGTTGCACCTTGTTGACCTTTGCACTCATTTCTAACCGGTTTAAGTTGACTGATTTACACCATGTTCACTTTAGAGGAAGTATGTAATCATATCTTAATGAAGTTATCCATCATCCAGAGAAGGTTGGAGTCATTTAGTAAGAAAACCAATCCGTAACTAAATTATACAGGATTTTTATTGTTGAATTCTTATACAAAACATTTAATAGGCTTCATTTTCTATGAAAGAATGTTTGTAAAAAACGAAATGCTGTCAGAGTTAAATCATTAATCTTCGCTCACTATATCTCAGCCTTAACTACAGGTTTAAAATATAAAAGTGTAAAACCATCAGTTATGTGAGAAGCAGCTGATCATCGGTTATTGTCAGTCAGCTATTTCTGCTCTAGTAAAGTACCGTAATATATAATAATAGGTTCTTACATTTACAGTTATTTGTTGCCATGAACATTTATAAAATATATAAAACAATATTGGGAATTCTGACGTGAGCGGTCAATGTGACTGAAGGCTTTCAAACGTCAGACTTTGGACACTGCAGCTGTTTTAGTTCAGGCTGTGGTGCCAAAATAAAAGCTCTGTGGACATTTTATCATTGTACAAACTTTAGTCCCGAAGCATAATACAGTTATCCAGCAGCAGCATCTGTGCTTTGTTTTGCTGAGCTTTCTGTCGAGCCTGAGCAGGAACTCATTCAGTACCCGACCTCACTCCTGTCCTCACTGTCAGCGGCCGGGAGGCTTCAATCAATTATACAGGTTCAAACAGACGAAGTGTACGAGCCAGGCAATCGAACACATTAGGCAAGTACAAGTTCAAACGTGCAGAGAAGTCCCGAGAAGAATGACTGGGTGCAATCCGTTACGTGCTACAACACACAGATCATTCAAGTCTTCTCAAGTCTTTGTAAACAGGATCCAGACCAAGTGCACTGACTGCCTGTGTAATGATGGACTGATACTTCCAGAAGTACACTGGCCCCTAACTGATCAGCTGAAGGGAATAACTGAGGCCATGTGGCTTTATTTACTAGAACACTGCTGGATGCTTTGACCTGGGAAGTCCCACCTGTTAGGAACATTTTCAATGATCCTTGTGGAGTTCACTCCAGGTTCCCACTCCTTTGAACACATCATTTTCCAGGACCTTTCCAGGACTTACTCTTGAAAATACAGAACTTAAAAACTTAAAAAGCTTAGAAATGGTCATATAAGCTGCGGCTTTCAGGCAAATCAAATAGAGTAGAACTTTTTCTTTTACAGAAAATAGTTTGCTGCACGTACAATTAACATCACATTTTCTGGATATTTGGTCAACTCTACATTCTCTGCTTTTACAGGTTTTCCTAGTCCCCTACCTGTTATTCACAGATAGACATCTTATACACCGCCTCATTCATACTTTAGATTACATACATTATAGGTCATATACATTTGTCGTATATATGTGAACAGCATACTTCAGGTTTTTAGAAACCGACTATATCGTATCTTCAAAATGTGAAAAATGATTCTGTAAAAAGGTTTTTATGGTCACTATAGAGCCGAGGTTTGTAAGCGTTATTAAAGTATCACTAGTTACAGGCCTCACAACAGCCTTCACTGCCTGCACAGTGTGTAAAATGTACAAAGTGCTGCTATTCTCTAACACAGCTCTCCAGATGTAAAAGGCTTTAAGCTCAACTCAAGTACTCGAGACCAAGAGCATTTAAAGATCGCTTTAAACTACTTTTATTTTGCCAGTTAGCTCAATAATTTGCATACAGGTTAGTGGTTGGAGAGCTCACATAAATAGTCATAGACTCACTAAAAGGACGTTGTATATTCGAGGTAATTTAAGCTTTTTTAAAAAGGGGTGGAGGTGGGTGAACTCATTTTCCCTGATGGTCTGAATAAAAGTCAAGAAGTTGAAACAGAATCAACTTTTGGAGAAACGCAACCTGACATGGCACTGCGGTGGTCAATCCGGTGATCGGACCCCTCGAACTGCTCCACAGTGAGCCTGAAACATCACTGAAATAAAAGACCAACACATGTTTTTGTAATCTTGATTCTATATGAGCTTAATGGTGCAGCACCTGGGACTGACAGAGCAGCAGACAGTGGGAATGAAGCCAGCTAAGACGACGTGAGCTCTGAAGGGAACAATGCTTGAGACACCATCCAAGTGGAGGCCCAAAGGGAAGTTAGGACTGATTCGACCGCCTCGACCTTGCTGCTATAAAGCGTGCAGGTACTTTTCCAACCGGGGAAGCCAGAAGAGCTCACAAGCGATGCACTTTCCTGGAAAACCTCAGGCCAGAAGCTGATGAACGCTGAAAGTCTTTGGTTTCAACTGTTTCAGCTGAGAATCTCCCCCCGAAAAACCCCCAGCTGGCGATGCCACATCTGTCCATCCACGCTGAACAGCAGAACAGGAGTGCATTAGTCCTTCCTCCTGTTCCTGTAACAATAAACACTTTAACTACATACAGACAGCTGTGTTTCATATGAAGTGTTAACTGTCAGTGTGTTTGTCAGTGGACGATAGTAGTCAGAGCGCAGAGCAACAGATGGCCAACATATAATGCTGATATCGAAAGAGAGCAGCGTCGTTTAATTCCATTATTATATATTATATTATATTATTATCATTATTCCACAATCTAATATACAGCAGCTTTGTGAGTGTGGCTGCTGCTGATGTGTCCGCACACAGTTATGTTTATCGGACGATCCCGATTATCAGCCTTTGATCATTTATGTTATGTATATGACTGTGGCTGCAGCGACAGGACGCTGTATATCAGAGTATCACGTACACGTCTGCTTACGCTGTGTAATCCTGAAGGTCCTTTCTGTTTCTGTAAGTGCTCAACCACTAAACCTAAAGCTTCAACGCACTGTTTTACCGTCACATGACACAAACTACACGCTCACTGACGTATCCAATCGAAAGTGTTCATTATCCACGGCACAGATATGATGAAATGTGCAGCACTCGCTCTAAAAATACACCCACATTAGTCACAACGTCACACTTTAACAGAGCCAAACAGCATCTGAGTGGCTCCTGGGACACTGTGAAGAGCCAGTGTAAGCTCTCAGACTGTGGTTTAAACAACCTGAAGTGGCTGCAGGTCAGTGTTGGTGAGGAATGTGCTCTGAACAGGCCTCCGTCTGTTCCCCTCATTCTGCTGAACTCACGCCTGCAGCAGATCAACCTTTGAGCCTTTCCAATGCAAATAAACCCAACAGGTAGCCGAGCTCGCCGCCACCTGAACTCTGGCTTCACTTCTACATTCCCCGTCACTTTACGGTCACTTCCGGGTGTTTCTGCTCGCACCAGAAAACACACATCTTTAAATCACTTCAACTAGAAAACATCTGCAGATCCAGAACTGTGACGACGACAGAATATTAGTGTCAGGATATAAACGGAGGAATATAAAAGATGCTCCTTCTTTTGAATGACAACTGCAGCTGGTAAATATTTCCAAGTGTCCATCTTAAGAAAGTCTTCAAATAGCTTTATTCAATCTGACTCACAGTCGTCGTCCAGGCCTGCAGCGTGTGTGCAAGTCCGTGCATCATTTTCAGCTCAGTACAGGAACTTAGGATTTATTGATACAGCAGTTTAAGTTAAGTTCAACATGAAACTTCAACTCATATTTACAGCAGTTCAAATAAACATGAAGATATTCAAACCTGCAACCGGCTCAGCTGTTGACTTCAAAACAAGATTTAACGACACAGGAAGTCTCGAACATAGAGGCTTAACACGAGCAGGCTGACAGCTACTGACTCTGATGTTATTATTAACACACCGTGTTTTCGATACCGTCACTGTATCTGCTGCCCAGCAGGGTGCTAAGTTTCCACTAAATAATCAAACCCAGGATCTGGACCAGAAAAGGTGCCAGGCAGCGAACGCAGTGCTGTAACTTCTGAGTAAGTGCAGCCGGGGATGAACAGATCACATGTACAGAAAATGACAGATTTGAAAACTTTAAAACTGTGTGAATATAAGCTCACACTGCTTACACAGTACAACGGATCACTGCTCACTAAAAACTGCAGAGAACTTGATGCTTTCAGATGCTTTTCTTGGTCTTACAGCAGTTTATAATAAATAATACTTTGGATTTTTGGACAAAGCAAAGAGACATTTCCATTGGGATTGGGGGAAATGTTTTATAGACGACACTATTGATCATGAAAAATAACCTTTCGGTCAGTTTTCCTGTAAATCATCACAGTACAAACTCCTACAAAGCTTCATGTTAATGACTCAGTGAATCACTAAAACCTGTCTGATGCTTTTACTGAATGTATATTTGTATTTTCTCTGTGCAGAAGGAAGCAGCCACAGAAACAGATTTCAGGCCTCTTCAGAGGAGCAGCAGGAAACTAACGAGCTCCTGCTGTCCAATCGGACCATTCAAATACTGCAATATTAAACAACTACAGCCAGATCTTTCAACAATACTTCACAGGTTTTTAAAATGTCTGTTTCCACTTCCAGGAAAGGAAATGATGGCCGCTCGACACAAACACCTCCTACTAGCTGCTCTCAATCTGGATCGTCTGCAAAGTACAGTCACGTCTCATCGACTGAATAATCCTCTCACTGACCAAAAAGATTTTCTGTCAGCTTGTCAAATGAAACAATCTCAAGTGAAGAGGGACTTTAAAAGGGAGTTGTTCATGTTGATATTTATCTAGAGAGAATATTATCCAATATTTCCACCAACTTTACAGGTAAGATCTTCAGTTTTTATGGTATTAAAGCAATAAAAGATTTTTTTCCAAAGGAACGTTTCTGATTGGTTAACCACTCAGCTCTGAGCTCAGAGAGTGACCGAAGCGTTGAGTTATTCAAACTAACATTACAGTCACACTCTGTCATTCAAACTAATTTTAGACGGGTGCACTGGTGCGAGGTGGACTTCCTGTCCCTACAGGTTTCCAGTTCAGCGGACAAGAGCATCTGTTGGCTGAAAACTACGCGTTATCTAATTTCCTTCGTCTGCTTCTTTGATTTCTGACTGTCATCTTCATTCATAACTTCCTGTGAGAAGCAGCTCCGTCGATCAAACGTTTTCTTACCAACAGGAATATACAGTATGATTTAACGGTAGTAAGAGCAGTAAAGTGTGGCGTGCCTCAGGGGAGCTGTTTAGGACCGCTTTTGTTTTCCAGTTTTTACGAATGACTTTAACTTTGTGCAATGTGTGCAGACGACATCAGCCCACATTTTGATGACGCTGTGAAGTAATGTGAGATCATGGCAGTACGGGTCGGTTTGTGATTCCCCAACAGCAGGAAGCCCCGTGGCCAGTGGATCATCCTGCGGTCGCACTGGGCATCTCCCAGGTGTGAATGTGTGCCGAGTGTGTTTGAAGCGTTTGAGAGCTGCGCGCTGGCAGAGAGAGGAGACAGAAGTGTAAAATGCTCCGCTGAAGCCACATGATGAATAGAGAAGTGAGTGGAGAGTGAGTTGAGTAATGGTTGAGTGTGGCCACATATGAAAATGAGAAGTGAACATGTTGAAAGTAGATGTACTGCAGTGTCCTTATTAGGTTACTTTACTGCCCTATCTGTGTAGTAGATATGAATGAATTTAAAATCAATTCAGCATCAAAACAACATTCAAAGCAACTACAACTTCAATCTTCGATAAACTAAGTAAATAAGTTTATGTGTGACAGAGCAGGAACACTCATTATTTAACACAGAGCTAATAAATAAACAGCAGCTCGTTCAGCGATATGTATCCATGTTAATAAGCAATAAAATCCTAATAAATACTCATCCCCAGCTCACAGTGCATCAAATCAAGCACTCCCCTTTCCCAGGTAATCTGTTTACCTGCGAACTACTTGACGTGTCACAGAGGAAACGCCTCTAATCTGCATCCATTTATAAACAGAGACACACTGGATTACATGCTGGTGTCGGATTACACAGAGACCAGCCGTCCCGGTCCTGCAGCGAGCGGGCGGGAGGTGATTACCTGTCAGGAAGTGAACGTCCCTCGGCCTCGCCCTCCTCCGCTCCGGCAGAACTAGTTTTACTGTCAGAGACACACAGAGGAAGGAGACTGGCAGCTCGTCCAGCAGCATAAGTGTCTCATTCCTGGGAGTCGATACGCAGAGGTTCCCTGTTTGTTCTTCATTTAAATCTCACTAAGCTGATGGTAATCCCCCACCCCCCCCAGAAACCACAACCTCCTACTTTCAGTCCTCTGAAGGAACTACAGTGTGAGAAAACCAAGAAGACCTGCCCGCCGTCCGCATGAACACGTTCAGAAATCACAGGTATCTCCTTTGAAGCCCACCAAGGAATAACACGGTCCCGCCAGACGGTTAATCAGATTCTGAATCACTTTTCATGAAAGAGCTTTAATTTTTTAGTGGAAGGTAGCTCATCTCCGTCTGTCTTTTGGGTTTGTTTTTGCGCTCGTCTTTCAGCTCGTCCTCGTCCTGCTGCACATAAAAAACAGTCAGATAATATTTAATCACTATAACAGTTCAACAGCACCACGAACTTCATTCGCTCTCTTCATGACGTACACACTTGTTCCCCATAAACCCATCACAACCTGGTGTTAACAGTCTCAGTATCACAAAGATCTGATGTGAATCCTGTTACAGACTCTGCTGGTAAAGCTTCAAACACTGGAACGGCTTTCACATTACCACCTTAAAAAACTCCCAGCAGCCCCGGCGGCTTTCCACAGTAAACCTGCCTGAGAGCAGCAGGTTAGAAGACCGTCTGCTACTGTCCGATCACGGCCCGATCGAAATGCATTTCCACCAGATCTATCATCCACCACCAGTTCCTTTCCACCTTTTCTTCCTGTGGAGGTCGCTCGAATTGATCCCACACAGAGCGACCAAACCGAGCGAAAGAGAGACGATACGTACAATGCTCCTTACGTATTATCACCAGGAGTGCGTGATGTTCAAAAGAGTAAAACATCTTCAAATCTTTCCATCTTCACACATTACACGCACACGCCTTGACAAGTGACGACAAATTTTCTGCCTGTTGTTTCTTCTCACACCATGCAATCTTCTCATCCGGCCTAACCTCTCCACGTGCAGTGAAGCGACCATGAGCGGGCACACACGTGTGCTGTTGGGCAGGACGCCATGCTTCTCGCGCTCGCCAAGGCAGTAACCACAGACGGACATGCTGCAGCTTACCAGGAAAGTGCCAAGTCACCAATACCCGGACAATGTACTTGAAACAGATTGAAGTTTGTGGACTGCAGATCTAAAGCCTACGGAGCTTGTATAAAAAAGAACTCGCCGCAGTTCAGTAACATCCATTCACATGATGAAGCCGTGCTGATACTGTGGTTGAAAGTCCAGAAAGCTAGCGAGGGGACTTGAGTTGAAATTTAATAATAATATTATATATAATTAAAACAATTCTGTTGTCTGAATTTCAAGCTTAAATGTTCTGTAAGCTTTTACCCATTCTTTGTATTAATATGTATTAATCCCTTTTTCAATGTGTGAGGCGGTTCTAACGTAATTTAAAAGATGAGAACCCGACATTTCAGTTGCCCGTGGTTCTTTTGCATGGCTAAGATTACTTACTTGCTAACGTGGAGAATCAGATCAGGAGGTTTCTACCAGGAGCTGAATTATCTGCATAGGTCTCTCCTCTCCAAAACCAAACTGACATGCTGAACAAACACTGATATATACAGTTATCTTAAAACACTGTTTCCTCTGACCTTACTTAAGTTACTGAATAAAATGACAGATTTTTCTCTGAGTTTTGGAACATTGTTGGAAACATTTTGGATAATTATGAAACTCAGCTTAACTACATATAGAACTATAACTCTGAGGTTATACTGTGTTTAATGAGAGAATGTAGTAATATACTTTTAATAATTCATCACCAAATTTGGTATTTGAAAAAACAATCAACCATTTATTAATATCATGAAGTAAACACAAGTCTGCAACCATCTTTTGTATAACGCACTGTTTTGGTATATACCAAACACTACAGGTCCTTCTCTTTACTTTTCTAAAAATTTACTGCATCTGTTAACCCTGTGTTTGTTGTGTCCCACGAGAAGAGCTGTGTCTTCCCTCTCTCTCTCTCTCTCTCTCCTGCTGCCCGAATGCCTCATTCCAGATGTTTATGGATCTAGATTTTGTCCTCCTCTCTCTCTCCTCTGTGTGTGTGTGTGTGGTGGTGTTGTGTGTTGGTTCTTTTTTCCTCTCTGTTGATGGTGAGTTGGTTTTGTTGAGTCCTGTGTATGTCTTGTCCTCCTGTCATGTTGAATTCAGGTCTTTTTTGAGACACCTGAAGATGCTCAAACGTCCTCGCTCATCCATATTCTTCATATATGTTTTACAATCTTCATCTCACTGTCCCATACAGTTGTTTATATGTTGGTTTATTTTGTAACATAACATCTATTGCAGTCTGTCTGTCCTGCGAGAGGGAATCCATTCCTCTTCTGAGGTTTCTTACCTGTTTTTCCATGTTAAAAGTTTTGTTGGGGAGTTTTTTCCTCATCCAACCCTGAGGGTCTAAGGACAGAGGGTGTTATATGTGTGATGGTAAAATTGCTTGACTTGTCTTCTTGCGTTTCGGGTAAAACGCTGGTGAATTTATGAATATTGTCAAGTGGCTACATCAATATCAAAGTGGGAACAGTTTTGTGGTTGCCCAGTGGCAATAAGTATCGTGGGACTCTGAAAGAATAATTTTTCTCTCTTACAAGGGATATGGATGGAAGTATTAGAAGTTTACAGCCTACAG